AATCATCACTGACGTGGCAATCTGCAGTGGGACCAAGGCGAGAGATTCCCGCCTCAATATGTCTGAATAGGCAATCGATTGATGCATATAACCACATATGATACGAACGTATGATCGAACAGATGTAGATACGTTGAGCCCAATAAATAACGACAGCGCAAACCCTTCGCGAATGAATCCCAGATATCCCACCAGCCTAAGAAAAGATGTGTCGTACACATGATACGTCTCTCTTGCACCATCACCGCAAGACCAATCTCGTTTAACTTTGACCGCAGAACGGTTCCCTCATGCGAGTCGTTTCGCAATATATCCGATATCACAGCGCCAACCCCTTCATCGTTTCACACTCGGGCGTGATTTCTGATGCGACAACATGAGAGCTCGAGAGCTAACCAGGCCAGGTCACATCTCAGACATCGATGCTGGACTTGCCCTTGTCTTCCTTGTCATCACCCTCAGGTCGGAGCTGCTCCTCGGAAGCCCTCGCGCTCTCATCGATGTAGCGCTCGGCATCAGCGTCGGCATCGAGATAGTCTTCTCCACGCAGCAAGCTGTACCGCGCTCCACCCTTGTTCGTCTCTTTGATCTGTGGGATTCCCACCGTCAGGTCGTGGTGACAGTTGGGGCACTCATGTACCGTCGGAGTACGCAACGCAAACCACATCGCTCGAGCCTTGCAAGCAAAGAAGTAGAAGTGGACAAACCTGTCATCATGTTAGCAACCCTACTGATGACTGGCTCGGACTTTGAACAACTTACATATTGACAATCATGGGAGCTGTTGCGTATCCAGCCAAGAAGCCATATCCCGCTGACCCCAGATCGTCAACCTCGACTGCCCAGATCGGAATGAGTATTGCAAGATAGGCGATACCCGCCAATCCGTCTAGGAGAGCGAACTTGGGGCCTGGCATACGATCGTGCCTTCGTTGGTGGACAATGCTCACCGTTGAAGCAACCGCAGTCATGGCGAGGGGGATATAGCCGAAGCAGAATGTAGTTACATCGCGATGGTCGTACCAATACCGGTAACTATGGGACTCCAGCGAGAGAACGGTGATGGCAATGAGGAAAGGTGTTGTGAGGGCACTGGCAAACAAATTCAGTACGCGAAGAGAACGTTCCTGCGCCATGATCATCTTGTTGGTTTGGGTAATCTGTTGGTATCTGAAAATGGAGGTGAAGACGAAAAGAGCCAGATGGCTTGGTGCAACAAAGACAAACTGAAGTCTACAGGTGTGTTTAAGTCACATCACCGACTGGGATAGCGTCTCATCATCTCTCAGGCAACAGCGAAAAGCACATAGCCGCAAGTGCATCAGAGCCGCGTGTACACACGAGGCGCTTTTTGGCATCGTCAGCCAATCGATGTGTCGCTCCGGCACGACAACGGTACTACGCAGCAGTAGTGAGACAGCGAGATCTTTTGTTTACTCCCCCGAGTATGTGTTTTGGCCAATGAACGTTGACGTTGGGTGGCTATGCCGGCTAGCCTTGGTATAGCGCAGGTGGGCGGATTACTCGGGTCCTGTGTCAGGCTCTCCGCAGTGCATGGACGCATGCTCAAGAATAGAATGGCCTCTGAGACGTCTCAATATCTGTCTACCTACATTCGGAGGTCTTTCCATGCATCGATTCACTCTTGCTCCTACATCGATAGAGAAGGTTGCACAAGTCACGTGACGTTTACATCATCCGGGCATGCATTGCGGTCATACTAAAGCTCGTTTCCGTGATATCCATGCCTTTCTTCCAAGTCGTAGAGTAGCGCCTGTTATTTATTCTGATCTTGGAGTGGGAAGCATGTCGCGTAGCCGCTTCCGCCAACGCTTGCGGCGTGTGGTTATCCAGGTAAGCAGAAATTACGTAGGTGACTAGGGAAGACCCTGAGGAAACCGTTGATTACTAAAACCCGCAAAGATCTTTTCGACGATCCGGACCTTTGTTCTCTTCGCATGCGTGTAAGCATGCACAACCAAACTTATTTCACAACACGGCCCTTTTGGCATCACGATGCACCCGACCTCCATATCTGCTGCCAGAGTGAACTCATCGGGTCTTATCGAGGTTTACACCTACAAACTCAGCTCCGGTTACGTGCAATACTTCAAAGCCGTCGCGCGTCATTTTGACATGCAAAACACGACTGACGTCTACCCAGACGTAGCCACAATATCTACGTTCCGCACTACTTTCACAGCCATCACGGAAGACCTAACCCGGAAGCTAGATCGCCTGCCCAAATACTCCGCATTGGCTCATCCTGAGACACTCCAACATTTCTTCCCAGGGCGCCGCCTGGATAGCGTTATCTCCTCCGCTCGATGACGACTATAAATCGTTCAGACGAGGGGTAAGAACAAAAGCCGCTTGTGAGAATTACGACCTATTCCACCGATGTGGAGTAAAACCCCGTGTGTTCTTTAGAATTATCGTTGATTACCGCCACTCTTATCATAAAATCATACTCCACGCTGGCCCAGTCCGCATGGCATTAGTTGTGAGTGGCTTGTCGCTATGGTCCTCGCGACGCCAATGGTAGCTGCCGATTCGTGTCGAATTCTGCACAATTATTCTAAGGTAGAAGCATACATTGGCTCATGAGGTGTTTGCTTATCAAGATTCAGTGATGTGTATGCAGCAACATGCGACACGGATTCTGGCCACCCCGCGGTACCGAGCATTGCATTTGCAACTTGATAAGCCCAATCAACTCCACGTAATGGTCAACATACCTTCTGCCTGTGGTTACCTCCCAAAATGATAGCCGCGCACGCGCCAAATCTGACGCACAACGCTGAGTTTCGGAGCATATATGATCGTCTAAGATCCCAAACCCTCCAAGGTTTACAGCGTAGAAGTCATCTCTGACCACAGCATCCAGCAAACACGAAACCAGACTTACGACATGACTCAACACACAGAAACACCCATGAATATTCCCAAACCATGGGAATCTGGCCGTCAGACTCAATTATACAGACTGCCTCGGCATTTATTCCGGACGATATTGGAACTTCTACCTTTATCATCTATGGCGACGTTCGCAATGACGAGCCACCACTCGAATACATTGGTCCGCTCCATCAAGAACCCTTTCGCCCTGATCAAGAAAGAAGGGAATGAGGCTGAGCGAGCGAGGTTCTCAATTCTGTGTTTCGACAAGCACTATCCGGACCATATCATATGTTATCATTGCGGCTCATACCATAAGCGCAAATCACCTGGTAGTCGGGATATCTGGGGTCAAAACGCCCCAGCCGCCTTCAAGTACGGGACCAGGACGATATGCAAACGGCGCACAACAAAGTTCGACGGGTTGGACTGGGAGACCGTCCACGAGATGATGCGCGGGTTCCGGCACTCCCCTCGGTATGGACACAATCTCCTGCGCCCTGAAGGCGTTCATCAACAGGGGTCAAAACGGTGGGGCAGTGACATCTATGCATTACCCTGTGATGGTCATTTGCTTTTGAGAAAGAGATGGGTCAGTGGTATTCCGGAAGTCGAGGATGTAGACCCCAAGGCCGTAGTATTTGGGATTCCATACTCGTTATGTCCACACCTGAACTCGGTCCTCAATATATATTCCATGGGTTGTGGTATAAGAAACGCTGTCTCTCGCTTCTACACGTATCATGATCCTGAGGACCTCAAGGATGGCTATGTTGATAAAGCCTTGCGGTGCACCGCCTGCCCTACCGAAGTGGTCATCGAAATAACTCCGCGAAGGCTGTTCATTGGAAATTGCGCAGACGAGTCGAGGTTTCCGAAATCAACCTATGTCGTAAGCGTCTCCAGATACGTCGACTTTGGCAAATGTCAGGATCCGGAGGACATTGAATGGAAGGCGCTCACAGAGCGGAGGCCGGGGTTCTGGAGACGCCTCTTTTCGAGGAGGGATAGCGAGTCGCTACACGGGGAAACAGCACGGTCAACGGTAGACCTTACACACCTGGAACCCGTTTGCGCGAGATTCAATGCGCGTCTCCACGCACCTCTGCTGTCCTCGCCGTCCCTCAGCAGTCCTACCGACCTTCGTCTGGCTATGCGTGATAGCACTGATGCACAACCTCCACCATACGCCGAGTGACCATAGTCAACAACATCGGGTCGCGAGAGTCCCAGCGAGCTGTGAACTGTGCGATGGGCGCATCCGGTAAGAAGCTTTGAAGGTGTCGGTTTCAACGAAATGCAGTACGCGCCTTCCTTCGACCCAGGATGATGCCCGGTCTTGCTTCGCGCGAGTTGTTGCGTCTGCACTTTGGTGTGCGGGATCCATGAATGGTTGTGATTGAGAACCAGACCGCAGTCTGAGTCAAAGGCGCATTCTATTCTTTCTCTATGGTTGTAATTTGTAGCTTTAGGATGTGTCGCAAGAGGGTGTGGCATGAACGGATTGGCGCAGGCCCGTAATGTCTAGGGGCAGCATGCCCTCACGACTGTATGCGTGGGCGCAAAATAGGGCCATTTCGGTCGCGCATCGAAGCAATTAGTCGTCTTGATCAATACTTGAGTGTTTGAACGTCAATCAATGCTGATCCAATAAGAGAAATGGCCAGCTCAATCGCACAGACCATCGGTACACCTTCCCTAATTCGGTGATGACGATGAGACGATTTCACACCCCCAGCCGTCCACAACGAAGACGGCTGATATGCGCCTTTTGCTCCCAACATATGCTTGTAGTCTCATTTGGCAGATCCTTACTTGCAGTACTCGCTAAGAAAGATTCCCGCTGCGCAATAACCCTTCTGAGAAATTACCCGCATTTATGCACACAATCGGAGTGAGATGAACGGAGAGTCCACCACGGATGTCTGTTTACCATACAGAATAAGGGGAGCATTCGAAATGAATAGATACAATACTCGCGCATGTACTAAAATTGGCTCGCTGTAGAAGCCTGGAGACAGTACACGGAATTCGTACATCAAGTCTGTGTTTGCATGTCTGCCTACACCATCCTCATGTCTGAAACGCCCACTAGCCGTTGGCTACATGTAGATCTCGTGGACCCTGACCAAGCTGTTGGGGGATGAATCTTTTGAATTTGTCTCTTGCACAAGTCGAGCTTTCAGGCGATCAGTCCCTTCCATATGAGCATCGTCAGGTGGTGGCTGCGGGCCATCGACCACGTGGAAACACAGAGATGCGTCGACAAGGCTGACGTCGTCGTCTGTTTCCGGCCTGAAGATAGTGATCTTGCTGATGGTCTTTTGGCCAAGTTGTAATTTGTGCTGCATGAGAAAGTAAGCGAACCCAGCACCGTTTGGAGATCCTGGTTTGGGTTAGTCTTACTGTATGTCATCGGAGTTGAACGCGACTTGCCTAGTAGCGCATGGCCCTGATCCGTAGTGGTAGAGAAGTCGGTTCCCGGCCACTCGCTTAGTTCGGTGTTACGGTCGCGTAGACAAGAAGCGATGATTTGATTAGTCACCTCGTTGGAGATGGCTATCATGAAGAAGTAGCGAATGTTCTTGATATTGGGGTTGTTACGAACCCAAAATCCCCAGATGATGTCTGAGAAAGCGCGAAGTTGAGGTAGGTCGTCTTTGTTCGGCTCCTTCGTACCACCGCCCCAGATAGTCTTGGCGGATGCTTGAGGGCTTTCAAGGAAGAGACCATAGATAGCGCCTCCTTTGGTGTTGATTCCGAATTCAAAATGCGCCTTTGTTGCCTGTAACGCCGTCAGCATCTAACTACTGCTCATACGCAAGCCTAAACTCACTCTGTATTGCTTGTTGTTACCTGCTGTGCTGTACCACTGATTGATAGCCGGGATCTGGTTGCCCTCATTATCTCTTTTCTCTGGGTCCCAATGCTCGACCCTATAGCACTGGTTATCTCCGCCTGCTGAAGTCGGCCGTCCGTCGAGACCAAGTGAGCGCATCGCATGTGAGAAATGCCAGTGCTCAGAAAAGCTGCAGCTGAACGACGATGAGCTAGTTTCTCGCCAGTACCAGTCCTGAAGCTCTATCTTGAGGTCACTATTGTAAGGCCTTGCAGCAGATGGGGGTTCGCGAGTATCTTTCATCTGACGGCCTGCGGTCTGATCAGAGCCTTCGAGACCACAGATCAGGGCGCCTCCTTTGGCTGCATTCTTGTTCCAATCCTCCTCCGCGGCATAATCATCGTCCCAGAAGGCCACCGTGGGGTGTAGTCCGTTGGGTTCACGGCTGGTCGAATTTGAAGATACGCGGGTGATGTTGCGGTCTGAGATGGGTGCGGAGGCCAGCGGAGTCTTGATAACTGTGTGTATGGCAACCGCGACGACAAGGGCGGTGACGAAGGTCATGTCGCTGATCGCTGCCAGGGAAACTGAACGAAGCAACAGATACAAGGAACGTCAGCAAGACGAACAGCGTGATACAAGAGGCAAGGCGCAAGACTAGCGGCTATTGGAGGCTGCCACAGTGACTTCGTAGGTGAAGGAGCGATTGTTCCACATCCCAATTTGCGCGCGTGTCTTCTATGACGAAGGTCTTGGAAAGGAAAGTGCAACCACTGATGAAGCATGCTTGGCCACGGGTTGTGTGATGCGTAAAGACGTTTTCCTAAGCTACCCAGCCTCTGGTCCAGGGCCACATAACACGCTATATGTATGGTTGACATTGGTTTCAATTTGCTAAATGCGGTCAAGGTGACCTCGGGATGTGAGAATGTAGCCGCGAAGCATTCGGACATGAAAATGCCATATACCGGAAAGCCATGATATCGAAAGCCATACGAAACAATCTTTCTGAGAACTACAGAACCCCAAATCACTGGTTGTTTCGTACCTCAGTCAGCCAGTCATCTCCCCGGTACTCATGCCACGGAGAAGGTTCTGTCGACGATTGAGCAAGAAAAATGAGGTATGTCGAATGCTATTCAGAGGCTCATCGGAACCCATGAGTCTTCAACGTCGTCGATCCAACAAATGTTCGCGGTGGCTATTCCATGTCCGGCTACCCAAACGCATCTTCATAGGGCTAGAGCAAAGGCTTTGCAGGTGGTGCAAGACCCAGGCGTGGGTGTGTACCCAGGCTCATGCATAACTGATTTCTGGATGAAAATAGCAATGCAGGTCCACAAGCTTTATGATAGACAGGATGTAGCGCGACGTTCTCAAGCACATTGCTGCCTCTAGCCTAGTCTTTCCCATGATTGCATCTCCCAGGGATAGGTATTCCTGCGGACTGGGCTGTATAGTGGGCTGTATAGTGTGCTAATATGATGCCGGGTCGAACGTATCGCGGACTAATATTACGGCTTGTATAGGTAGTGAATCGACGAGACGTGTAGAACGTGAGGGACGCGGAGGACGGATGATCGTGGAACGCATGCGCCGTAGCATCAGGCGGGCTTAGGTGGTGGCGCGCATTTCTAGTGCGGGATGTGGCCGGAAGGATTTCAAGGTAATAAGTTGAATGCAGATATGTTGTGTAGTGGCATCTTGACGTGCTCTATCATAGATAGCCTAATAGCCGCTATCTTAACCCTTAATGTATTAATATAATTCTAGTTTTATTTACTAAGGCGCTAGTCTAGAAGTAGATTTTTCTTTTTATAATACTACTTATTTATATAAACTAAAAATACTATAAAAGTTTAAAACTAACTTATAATACTAGCTTTTTTTTTTTTTTACTACTATTAAAATTACTTATTATAGTAATTAATTAATATATTTACTAATACTATTTACTACTTAAGTTTTTTTACTTAGTTAAAAAATTTTTTTTTAATAAGTATAAGCTATAGCTATACTAAAAATAGCTTTTAAAGTAGTACTTTTAGCTTTATAAGCTTATTAGTATAAAACTTAAAAAAGCTAAAAACTAAAATATTAGTAACTTTATACTATTACTTAAGTAAATTATATACTATTATTAAGCTACTTAAATATAAATATAGCTACTATTACTTTAAGCTTATAAAGTATTTACTAGCTTTTTTATATATATATTATTAGAAACCTATGTTCTAGATAGTTAGATAATATTATATAACCTAACTTAGCGCAAGTATAAGTAGATCTAGAAAATTATTACTTAAAAGATAATAATTTATCTATTCTTACTAAATAATATACTATTACTTTACTATTTTTTATATTTTATATTAATTAGTAGTTACTTATCTAATATTTAAATTATTTACCTTATAATACGCCTATATTATATAATATCTACTTATAATACTTATAGTAATAGTTATACACTAATAAATATTAATAATAATATAAAACTATTTAATATAGTAGTATTAGCTATAAGTTTATTAGTACTAACTTTTATTAAAAAGAAAGTATATAAGCTAATACCTTCTATATCTAAGATAGATAATAACGTTAGTAATAGCCTAATTCTACTACTATTACTATAGAATTATATTCTTACTTTTAATAAGACTTAGAATATTCTAGAAGAGGCTATTCTAGACTAGAAGCTATAACGCTTTTATACTTAGAAAACTCTTTAACTAAAGCGTATTAAGCTAGCTAAGTTATAAAACCTTTACGCTAGAGTTACTATAAGTAATTTAACTACTTTTAAAAAAAATATAAAAGCGCTATTTATAACTTACTTAGAGAATACTCTCTTTACTAAAGACTTTCTAAGACTTAAACTTTTATAGTTATTCTTAAAAACTAACTAAGTATAATATAATTACTAAAAGTAAAATTATAAGTTATACTTTTTTTATATACTATAAAGCTTTATAATAGAGATATAGAAAGTAGATTTTAGTACTATATATATCTCTAAGCTATTAAAAACTCTATAGTATACTTATTAGGTATTAGAGAGATACTAGAACTCTACCTAGACACTATTATAGGTAAACCTTAAGTATATTATATTAAACTTACTTAGTTTTTTATAAAAGTATAAATAATATACTTATAATTACTTTAAGCGCACTATATAGCGTAGTAATTAGAATTCTATAAACTTTTTAGATTATATAAGACTATTATAAAAGAAACTTAAATTAAACTAAATACTAAATATATAAGTACTAGAGTATACTATAGCCTTATAAAATAATATTAAAAAAAGCTTACTCTTACTCTTTATAGACTAATATTTTACACTTCTATAAGTAAAAAAATATACTAACTTTATTTTCTAATAAAAGTTCTATATTATAAAAAATAAGCTATAACTACCTAGAAAGAATAGACTTTAACTTACCTAAGATTAATCTAATATTTAGAGTACTAGTAAACTCTTAAAAAACGCTAAGTACGCTAGATTAGTTTAGAATAAGTTAAAAAGAAATAGTTTAGGTAATAATAATATATCTAAAAAGTAAATTATATACTATAAATATAGTAAAGTTAGTTATTATAAGAATAAATATCTAAAGGCTAATAAGTCTAATACTATAAGTAAGTTTACTAATAAGTTTAAGCTAGAAAAAAACTAAAAGTAGAAAAATTAATCTTCTACCTTACTACTTATATCTTTTTAAATAAAAAAAATAAGAATATAGAAATACTACGCAAGGCCTTATAGTTTACTCTATTTTAACTCTTAATAGTAAAGTTTACTCTTAAAATATTTAAGCCTAAAGAGGTAATAATTAATAGTAGTTTATAACTAAATCTTATCTCTACTATATTAGTAAAGAAGTAAGAATTAGTTATTAATTCTTTACTAAACCTTTTTATAAAAAAAGTTAATAGTAGAAAGCTTACTATCTATAAAATAACTAAAGTAGATATTACTATTACTAATTTATAGAGCTACGTAAAGACGTAGTATATTTTATTTATAGTATCTAACCTAAATAGGTATACTATATATTTAAAATTACTATAAATTAATTACTATAACTCTAGATTAAACTATACTTTATAGTATATACTCTTTAGAGATAATAAAGCTAAAGAGGTTAGCTCTTTTTAAAAGATTATAGTAGAAGATACTTAATTATTTAAAAAGAGTATACGTAATTCTAGTGTAAACGTGTATATCTATCTAGTAGGCGTAGTAGGTTAGAATAACTTATTCTTAGCTTAAATAAGTAATATACCTCTACTATATATAGAGTTTATTAATATTTGTTCTAAAAAGAACTTAGTAATTATTACTAAGTATAGCCTATAAGACTTAGCTTTAAACTTAGAACCTAGAATAAATCTACTATATATACTATTATATAATCTTTCTTAAACTAAGTTAGAGCTTTTTAGAAAGTACTTAGAAGAGTATATAGTATAAGAGTAAATAAGACGCTTAAAGTTACTAGCTAGTATACCTATCTTCTTTATTAAGAAGAAGAATAGCTCTATAAGACTATATATTAACTATTATAGCTTAAATAAGATTATAATTAAAAATAAATACTTACTATCTTTAATTATAGAGTCTTTAGACTGCTTAGTATAAGCTAAGTACTATACTAAGCTAGATATATAAGAGACTTACTATAGAATTTATATCTAGAAAGAAGATAAGTAGAAAACTATATTTTACACCTAATATAGTTATTTTAAGTATACTATAATGCCTTTTAGCTTTATAAATATATCTACTTAGTTTTAGATATATATTAACTAGACTTTTATTAGTCTAATTAATATATTATATATTATTTATCTAAATAATATTTTTATCTTCTTAAACACTCTTAAAGAATATAAAGTATATATTAAGAAAGTCTTATAGAGACTACGTAAGGCTAAGCTTTATTTAAAGCTTAGTAAGTATAAGTAGTATACTTAACGCACTAAGTACTTTAGTTATATTATTATACCTAATAGAATTAAGATTAACTAAAACTATATTAAGACTATTTAGAATTAGTCTAAGCTATATATAGTTTATAATATTTAGGTATTTATTAGCTTTATAAACTACTATTACTAATTTATTACTAGTTTTTCTAAATTAGCTTTACTATTAACTATTTTAATCTAGAAAAGCCTAAGCGTAGCTAAAAGTAGCTACGCTATATAAAGAGAGAAAAGCTAGTTTTTAAATATTAGTAAAGCTACTAGAAAAGCTTTCTATAAGCTTAAGAACTCTTTCTTAAAGAAACTAATCTTAGCTTACTTTAAAAGAGATTATAAAATAAAAGTTAAAGTTAATATATCTAGAGGTATAATATTAGATATTCTAAGCTAATATATTATAGAATTACCTAAGCTAGATAACTAGTACCTAGTTAACTTCTATTTATATAAGCTTATTATAGTAGAGTATAATTATAATATATATAACTAAGAACTATTAGCTATTATTAAAAGTTTAGAATATTAGTAATATTATCTTAAGAGTATTTATTTTAAAATCTTTACTAATT